CTTTATATTTTGTGGGGCGAAACGCAGGAGCCAATATCGCACAGCAGTGTCCCACAAACTGTACTGGATTGAATGACTAAATTATTATTAATTTTTAAATTATTACTTTTTTTGGAGGGATTATTAACCCCCTTTAAAACAAGGTTATAGAGCACCTTCACTGGCAGCCGTGCAGTAGTTACACTGCTAGAGAGCTTTTTGGCCGCCAAACGTCACTGTAGTTTAAAAGGAACTTTTCTGTAGTGCCTCACTGACAACAGTATGAGGCAGTGTTTGCACAGCAAACAAAATCCGGTTTATTCTGCAGAAATGACTGAACCAAAATTCACCAGCAGATGGCAAAAGAAATTCAGGTTTCTGAAGGCTTTCCTATAGTCCTCCTTTAGGTTTTCCCTTCCCAGCTCCTCTTAAACAGGTTAGTGCAGATAGATTAGGGGAAGGGGAGGTGGGAAGCTGAGCCCCCTCTAGTCCAAACCACACGTGACCCATGACAGCTCCTCGAACAATACAGAGCTCCCTCAACGCTGTACCAGAGTGTCAGTTTAGACTATGTGAGTTCAAGTCCCAACGTTGGGCTTGAACCCATAACCTTCTGATTCAGAGGGAAAAGTGCTACTAACTGAGCCAGGTTAACACCCGTTTGATAAAACCGATCTAGAAAAAAGTAAAACAATGGAGGTGGGTGGGGAACAATGCGGGATGTGAATGAGAACTTGTGTTATTTGAGCATCTTTGACGTCGAAATGTCTCCATGCGATTCAAAATAACTGCTGTCACCACAAATTATTATTTATTGGCACTAACCACGTCAGCCATTTTGCTCACAGCAATCAAGTGAATGACCAATGTATGTGGAGGATTAATGGCCAGAAACAAAACTGCCTTCCCTTCTTGAATCATGTCATGGAAAGGTGTTTGTGTGGCTCTCTTGTTTCACTGTCAGAATCAGAATGTTATGAGGTCAAGCCCTACACATCTACATCTGGAATGCATTACCTGAAAGGCTGGTGGAAGCAGATTCAATAATAGCTTTCAAAAGGGAATTTGATAGGTACAAGAAAAATTTGCAGGGCTATGGGGTAAGAGCGGGGAGTGGGACTAGAACAACACTTAACAACTTGCTTATATAGAACTCCTCACACAGGGAAGTGTCCCAGAGTGTTTGATAGTGGCGGAGCACAATGCCGAGTCGGTGGGAGGTGACCGTAGGCGTGGTTGAAAAGGAAAGTCTTCAGGCGCGACCTGAAGATGGAGAAAGAACGGGCAAGGCGGAGGGATAGAGGAAGAGCGTTTCAGAGTTTCAGGGCGTCGTGGCTAAAAGCGAGGCCACCAATGGTTGGACGGAGAGCACGAGGGACATCCAGGAGCTGGAGCCAGTCGAGCGGAGGCAGTGGGTTGTGGGGTAAGCAGGTTGGAGTGGTAGGAAGATGCCAGGGCATGAAGGGTTATGAAAACAAGTGTGAGGATCTAGAAATTGATCCGTCCAGCGATAGGGAGTCAGTGAAGCCTGGCTAGAACTGGTGTGATGGGGGAATGGAGTTTAGTACGAGTGAGTAAGTGGGCAGCAAGAGTTTTGGATCAGTTGGATCCTGTGCTTGGTAGAGCTGGGGAGACCAGCCAAGAGGGCATTTGAAAAGTCGAGTCAGGAGGTAACAAACGCATGGACGAATGTTTCGGCTGCGTCTGGAGTGAGGTACGGTCAGAGGTGGGCAATGTGAAAGAGGTAGAGGAAGGTGGTCATGGTCAGGGTTCTGATGTGGGGAAGGACTAGTTGGTTGCTCTTTCAAAAAGAAATAATAATAATTCTGGCATATGATATAACTTATCGAAGTGTCTTAATGCATTTCACAGGATTTTCCTGGGAGTGTGGTGACTGTATATTTCATAATCGAATTACTGCCGAGACTGCCAAGCAGGCCAGGTCTGCTAAGTTAATAATTGTTATTATGCTACATAGTATTAAACAGATGATGCTGAGTTTTCTTTCAGAGAATAAATCTCAGCTCAGCTGAAATTCATGGAGTTAGAAATGATTTTGGTGTGTGTTTTCAGGAAGTATTTGTGTTAACAAATGGTGAGATCTACCTAAAACCACACAGGTCTCAGGGATTTGAGACAGATCATTCGATGCACAAACCTTGCTGTGAGTGGTTCACAGTTACATCATATAAGTACAGTGCCCAGTCAGTTATATAAATATCTTAATTGCTCCATCGTGTAGAGGGATGCACCCACATTGATCTGTTATCCAAATGAACATTCCTGCTTTGATGGCCTTGTGCTACAATGTTCTCTTGGTTGAGAAACCAATAGAAAAACAGCTTGACTCAGTTTGAAGCACTCGCCCTCTGGTCAGAGGGTTGTAGGTTTAAGCCCCAAATTGTAATTTTAAGCTTACAGTTTACCTAAAGGTGAGGGCAGTACTGTGTTGTCAGAGGTGTTGTCTTTCAAAACAATACAATTTTACGTTTATAGTACCTTTCACATTGGGAGGACGTCGCAAGGCGTTGGATAATCCAAGGTTTGCCACAAGCTGGATGTGATATAGTGTCAAAGTGTCTCAAAGTGCTTCACAGGTAATTGCTGTAAAGTGCAGGTAACATGTATTTGTAGACAAGCACAGCGGTCAGTTAGTGAACAGCAATATTTCATTAACAGACCTGAAGTGAATGATTAGGTAGAGGCCAAGGTAGTGGGAGAGATGGTCGAAAGAGCAATCAAATAAGAAGGTTTTCAGACAGAACTTGAAGGAGGCAAATGAAGGGGTGGGTCAAAGGGACTCCAGGATGGAATGCCACAGAGTGGGGCAGATGAGATGGGGGTATCATCAGGTGCACTATTTGAAAAGAGAAGGGAGTTTTTTTCCCTGCGAGCTGGTCTACAGTCCTCCAGATTAAATAAGCAATTGCCTGTGAAGTGTGTTTTGAGACCTTTTGACACTATATCAAAAAGAAGGATCATTATGAAACAAAGAAACTGCAGACAGAAACACATTAAAAAGGAAGCCTAGTGCAAGGAAGGCAGCATCAGTCCATTTTGAATGCGTAATTGTGAGCAAGTCACTAGATATGGGCAGGTCCTACACCACAAATTAACCTGCTTAATAACAAAGCTCTATTGTAGTATCGAAGAAACAAGACTCCAAGGATGTATTGAACACCCCTAACTGACCCGAAGTATTGTGCAGTGTTAATAAGTAAAATGTACAGTCATGACCTGATTATGACAGAACATTGCTCTTTCAACTATTGTTTAACCTACTGTAGCGCAGGATGCCACACTTCAATAAATTGCAACTTCCAGATTCAATCCATGTTGAAACATCAATGCTGTCGTACAGAAGCACCACTGCTATAAATACTGTACATCTGCCAAAATAATTCACTTTACGATTGCCATCCATAATTCTATACCAGTCATTAGTTTAATAAACACATCTCTGAGAAGAGTGGTTCACAAGATCACAGGAGATGTTTGGCTTAAGAAAGCACTTTGGCACCTTTGATCTCATCCTCGTGGTATAACAATCCTCCGGGTTTCCATCACAGCACCAACAATTTCTTAAAATGATTTTGGTGTCTTAACCTCAGCCACCCTTAGTCATGACACATTCTAGCTGTCGACCGTCCTCCATGTAAATAATTGTTTCCTGGTGTCTATCCTAAAATTGCCTTTGCAACACTACTTACACCTGTTACCTCTCGTCTTGGTGTATCTCACAAGATTGGCTTGGATGAAGAAGTCCCTTCGGCCCATTCGATCTAATCTCTACCAACCCTACTGTCCTCCCATCACAGCATCAAGCGGTTTTATAAATGTAAAATATGTAACATAAAAATATAAGTAAGTGTCCTGGCCTCAACCACCCTTCTTGACAATCTATTGCAGTTGTTAATTTCTCTCTGGATAAAGAAAACCTTCCTGGTGACCAATAGTACAGGATTGTTCTAGGTTTACTTTTCTAAGCCATTAAGTACCTTATATTATCTCTAGGATCTTGATGTCACAGTGACCAAGCCTGTACACTGGCTGCAGAGCCCTTCTGATGACAGCACAGCCATCCTGGCTCATCAACAGGACTTGGAAGGACAGACCAATCACTGGAAGTAGGGACTGTTCCCATTCAGCTCTCCTTAACCATACAAGCCAAAGCGAGTAGGGTAGTCTTAGCTGAACAAGCAGCAGGAAAGTTTGCCAGACAGCGATATCAATGGCAAGTTATGTGGTTTTAGCTGGTTAGACTCCAGCAGTATCCACAAAGCATACTTTGGGCTCCCCAAGCCTTGGTTCTTGCCAATCTGCACCTAATACAGTCTGAAATTAGGTAAACAGGATGCATCGCTCCAGGAAGAGTGTGCATTCCATTGCAATAAACACTTCAGGAATTTCCACGTGTTGGTGGAATGCATGGAACTCTGTTTGGTTTGGATGCTCAAAGCATGGTGATGGGTTTCTGCATGTGTCAAAAAAAAAAGTACAATATATCGCACAATATCTGTCATTTTTTTGTGTGCAAAATTTGGAGAAGAGATACAGAAGAAAATTATTGGGAAAAGGATGCCCTTCTACATTAAAAAAAGTGCCCCCAGGAAAAAAAAAGCCTTGTGTATATTTTGGGTAGGGAATTCCGTGTAAGTCACAGTGAGGCTTTAGCTCTGAGGAGACAACAACAAATTACATTTCTTATAGAGCCTTTCACATCGGGAGAATGTCCCAAAATGCTGGATACTCCAAGATGTGCCCCTAGCTGGGGGTTGCGATCAGGAGATTGGAGGACAGGGAGGGAACCTTGGGACAGAACTCTCTCGTGAGGCATGAAGTGCAGGAGATTTCCTCTTTCAACCCCATTCTGAAGTATGTTTGCAAGTAACTTTCTCCGAGTGCATGCATTCTGTATACAGTGTAACCTGTGGACCACTGGCTGGCGGGTTGGTGAGAGAGAAGGAGACAAAGCAAATTAAAAGTTTTAAAAATCAGCAGAGAAATGCCTTCAATCCTACCTCCTCCTTTTTCTCCTCCATGCCACAAGCGCTGGTGTTCAGACTCAGCTGGGAATGGCTGCTTATCCCACTGTCCTCATTGCCATCGTCGCAATAGACAGTCTGCACTAGATCTTGAAACAACACAGGGCTTTTCCCGGGCTTCGAGGTGCCGCCTTCGGCCCGTCCATCGCTGTCCATGGAGCTGAGCGACAAGTTGCTATGGCGGTTCGGACAATGGAAAGTGATATTGTGCTTGACCTTTTCGATACTGGGACTCTGGGGCTTGGGAGCGGTGGGCCGTGCTGGAGTACCGGGCTGTTCAGTGTCGAACGTAAAGCAGTTCGTATTTTTTAGTTCACCTGGGCTCGGGGAGAAGACTTCATTGGAAGAGGGGCTGAGCGGGGAGCAGGCAAATGGACTGTGTGGGGTCCCAAGGCTCAAGTTCAAACAGGGGGAGGCCCTGCTGGCTTTCAGCTCCGGTGAGGAAACCGACCTCTCGATCTGCACCGAAGCACTCCGAGCATCGGCCTGGCTGGGGAGCGTGGGGGTGGGGGCAGGCGAGGAAGGGGGCTGGTCCCTGCTTCTCGAGGCGGACCTGCGACTCTCGCTCTCCGAGGTGCTGGAAACCCTGCGGGAGTAATCGTCGTGCAGCCTGCTGCTGGGCCGAGCCACGCTCCTCGCCCCCGTTGGCCCCCGCGTCGGACTCTCCCGCCTCCTTGTGACGTCCGCCACATTGCTCACCAGTTTTAACACTCGGTCAAAGTCCCGGGCCCTGATAGGGCTCTTCCACCGCTTGGATCTCCTGGCCCCGTTGGCAGTGAGCTTGTCAGAATCTGCCGAGGACGTGCTCACAGTCCGCTGCAGCCTCTCACTCTCGTTGGCCACTTTCAACTCCAACAGGTTGGAGGTCGATTTCCTCTTAAACGAGCTCTTCTTGAAGAAGCTCAGATTGTCGGTGCTCTTGCTCTTCCTGTAAATAACCTTGTGGTTCTCCCGGTCCGTGTCCGGCGCCTCGTGGTCATTCGGCTCCCGGTGGTCCCCGGGGGGTGGGGACGTGGGGCAGTCCTCGCGGATGGGGGGCTTGCTGTGGTCCAGCAGGTTGATCCGCCCCACACCGTACGCCCGCCGGATGCTGCGGGACCGGTGGGTGTGACGCAGGAAGGTTTCATCTGCGTCTTCGTCATCTGAGCCCTCGGAGGCAAAGTCCTCCGCTGAGCTGTGAGCAGCGTCCTGCGCCATGCCTGAGGGAGGGCACCTCTCCTGCCCCTGCAACACATGTCCGTTTTGCATGTGCTTCTGCGCACCATTCGCTAAACCGTCCCCGTTTATAAAGTCTGCGTCCTCTCGGGCTTGGATGCCCTGAAACACCGAAGATTTCAGCTTCTTGAAGGAGCCCATTTTCCTTAAGGAGGACAAGCTATTCCAGCTGGGAGTGCTTCCCATCAGCACCATGGAGCGGGGTCTGCCGTCCGAGCCGGGCCTGACTTCTGAGCCACAACCGCTCCGCTTTTTAGGCGTGGAGAAGAAACGTAGGATTTTGGATGGGTTCTGCCTCTCCTCCAACTCCATTCCCTGCCCGTCGCCATTGCTGTGATCACAAAAAACGTTCTCTACCTTCTGACAAAAAGAATTGCGGAACATCCCGGGATCGACATTATCTTCTGGTAACGAGGGATCAACATCCCCATTCGCACATCCATTGTGGAGGGATTTCATGTTGCCATCCCCGTAAGTGTCAAAAAGTTCAAAGCTACTGATCCACTCGATGCTGCTGCTTTCATCGACAGACTCCACCTCGGCTTGACCTCCTTTCCTATCGTTCGCACAAGTACTGTGGGAGGTCAGTACTTCGCTGGACTGGACTACCTACACAGAGGAGAGAGAGAGAGACAGAGCACTTCAGTAAACCTCTTCATACATTCACTCACAAAGGAGAGGCATTGCTTTAGCTGTCAGCCTGGTTCAGTTGATAGCCCTCTCGTCTCTTAGTCATAAGTGTAGGGAACACAGAAACAGGAGGAGGTCGTTCAGCCCTTCGAGCCTGTTCCGCCATTTAATTAGATCATGGCTGATCTGTACCTTAACTAATCCCTTCAATTCCAATTTCCCGCTTTCTCCCCAGATCCCTTAATACCCTGACCTACCAGGGATATTGGGGATGGCTACAGATATTGCGCAATCAAAAAGAAAACATTTTCTCTATTTCTTCTTCAGTTCCAGGTAATCACCCTCCACAATGCTGTCCGGCGTTTTATTCCTTGAAGCTCTTTGCTTTCAAATACAACTCATTTCATTCCCAAGCACCTCCCTATCACTGTGATCTTCTCTATTTTTTTGCTCAGCCGGATTTCTGACACATGTGTGCTGGGCTGTGCATGTTCAGAACTGTGTAATCGGTTGTAATCGCTTTCCCACCGCTTGTCCAGCTCAGACCACCATTAAGGCTCTGGCTTGCAGGATTAACAGAAACTGAGTGGGATGGTTCTATGCCCCCCGTGACTGCTCTGCCCTTCCAAGTCAAGCCAATGAGCCAGTCTGGTTGTGCTGTAATCAGCAGTGCCCTGGAGTACTGCGGACCCGCCTGGCTCGGGAATCGGACGACCGAGACCGTCACAGAGGGCTGGCTCGGTTCCAACATTCCACTGCCTTCAACAATTTCAAGAGGTTACCCTACATGAAGAGTGGTATATGGGTTTAAATTTGCCCACCAAACACAGTCACAGCACTTAACAGTATATCCTGTGAGATGCTTTGGGGACGTCCACTCAACGTGAAAGGCACTGTACCAAATGCAAGGATTATTATTATTATAAGTTGTTGTTAGAGCAGCAGAGTACACAGGCTGATTCTCACTTCTCGCTCTTCATCTCATTGCAGTGACTAAAGCCAGTCAGGAAACTAGGTGTCTTATTCGACCCTCAACTGTCTTTTCTTCCCCTCATCCAAGCCATGACCCGCTCTGCCTTCCCTCACCTCCGAAACATCGCCTGACTCCGCCACTACCTCACCCCTCAGGCCGCTGAAACTCTTGTTCATGCTTTCATCACCTCCAGGTTCGACTATGCAAACACCCTGCTTGTCGGCCTTCCCAACTCCTCCCTCCACAGGCTACAGATGATCCAGAACTCTGCAGCCCGTGTCCTCTCCCGCACTCCCATTTCCCCCATTCTCACCTGACTCCATTGGCTCCCTGTCCTTCAGAGGATCCAGTTGAAGATCCTGGTCCTCACCTACAAAGCCCTCCATGGCAGGAGAACCTGCAGCCACTCTGCCCCCAACCTCTGGAATTCCATCCCCGAATCACTCTGCCTCGACCCCTCCTTAGCCTCCTTCAAGTCCTGCCCCCCACTTCCCTGAACAGCCCAGCACATTCAGGATCACAAAAATCAGGTGTACAATTTTTTTACGTTGGAGTTTAAGTCACACAGTAAAAGTCGCATAAATCTGATCTTTATAAATGATATAATTGCCTGAGTCATATTTCTGCCCAAGTCCCATTGAAGAGTTTATAGTCTGTGCAAGTTTGATGTAACTCATACTTAAGCCATGTTAAATGTGATATGACTTGTGTGAAGTTTACTGTAATTAACACTTTAAATCCCATCAGTGACTATCAGTGACCAGATGGCATAAATTTAAGAGTTAGAAAGTTAAAGGCAGCATAGCTCTACCTTGGTTACGATTCAGCACTAGGAGGAGAGGAGAGTGGAGGAGGGGAAGAGGGAGGGGAGAGAGGAAGAGGAGAAAGGAGAGAGGAAGAGGAGACAGGAGGGGGAGAGGAGACAGGAGGGGGAGAGGAGAGAAAGAGGAAAAGAGGCCAATTTCGAAACTATGTTTAGAGCAGGTCACTGAACCTTTCAGAGGACCACATACTGATAAGATAAGTGAGGGTTCACTGAGGATACACAGCTCTGTTTCCAGTTAGGCTATTTCCCCTCAATCTACATATTTGTATCTCCGACAATGCAGTGCTGCACTGGAGTGTCAGCCTGGACTGTGAGCTCAGGACCCACAACCTTCGAACACAGAGGCAAGGAAGCTTCCAGCTGAGTCAAGCTGACACATAAAAACAAATATTCCCCCCGGGAGCCGTCTTGAAATACAATTAACGTGCAAAGCAGTTCTGTAGTGCTGAAGCTGAGGAACACAGTGCTCATCTTACTTGTGCTCATGGTGTCCTGTAAAGCAGCATCACTGGTAACAAGGCAGCAATTGTTAGTGACAGAAGAAAATTTGGTTCCTTAGGTACCAATGCGTTATTTTCAGCTAAAGGACTTGATAGCGAAAAGGAAGTACTGATGGCCCCTTCCCCGCAAACACGGCTGCAGAGTGAAGAGGGCATTTTATTTTAATCAGTGATACTTAGTCCAAACGCCTCTGTTTACCTAGCCGTAAGTAGGAACTCGGTTGTTAGTCAATTGGCGGATTGCTTTCTGGGGTTAACCCCTGGAAAGCGATCCCTCCAAAAAAAATTAATAATAATTTGGTCACTCAATCCATGACGGTTTGTGGGACACTGCTGTGCGCAATTAGCTGCCGTGTTTTTCTCACAAAATACACAATCACTACACGTTACAATAGATTCTGTGAAGCGCTTTGAGACATGATAAGGCACTGTATCAAATGCAAGGATTATTATTATTTCAAGAGCTTGTCAACTCTCAAGACACCTGCTGTCAATAGTGAAGCTTCTAGGCTATTTACCTTAAGCCAAGCCAGGGATGGGACCTGTTTACCTTCTGCAAGGAGGGAAAAAGCAAGGCACCTTACCTGGGCAACTTGGGAAAAACATACAGGACACACGTACGCGTTGCTAAAAGATGGCTAAACAGTTACCTCTTTGATGCATTCAAGCAGATTAAATCACAGAAACCAGTCTGACCAGATCCACACAATAGCTCAGTTCACAAAGGTCCCCAAACCCAAAATGAAAATTCATTGCTTCTCGGCAGAGAAAAGGGGAGGGTGAGGGGGAAGAAATCCTCAGGAAAGGCACAACGGAAGATCCAAGGTGGGAAACACAGGCGAGATTCAGTAACAGCAAGCCAGACACCAAGCGACTGCAGACCAAGGGCAGCCAGTCACTGACTGACTGACTGAGTGGCTGTTTGTTTGTTTGGGAGATCACATCTCTACAGAACAAAAGAGCAAGAGAGAGAGAGAAAGAGGAGTTGGGGGAGAGAGTATTATTGCTGTATGATGCTTGGGGCTAGTTTCCGCCTTTAATCCACTGAGTAAAGTTGTCATTAGAAAGATCCTCACAAATGTGTCTCCTTACACAAGGGAGGAGGAGGAGGGAGAGAGAGAGAAGTAACATAAAAGGAAAAGTTGAGTTACAACAGTAACTTGAGCTTGTTGACCTACGGATGGAAAGATAGCCTGTCAACTTCTGAAGGCACAAGGGAGGCAAAACGAACACAACACACCAGAATCTTTCTCTGATACCTATACAAGTGAAGCAATTCCTTGTGTACAGTCAGTATGTAAAGAGGGGCCAACTTCTACCAAGCAAGCGGCTTAAAAAGTCTTCTGAATAAAGGGAAATAATTAAAGGCTCTTCCCCTTTGTCACTCAGACTGACACTGTGACCCTGCTGTTTTCTCTAAGACAAAACTTTGGGAAATTAAACCCAGCGTGAATGGCCTTTTACTGGCTGCAATGGACAGACCATCCATCTATTTAGCAGCTAGAGAAATATCCATACTCTTTCGGGGCGGGGGGGGGGGGGGGGGGAGGGGGGGAACATCCCTGCCAGAATAATTAAAATGTGAGCAAAGGTTATTTCAAGTTTATTTATTTAACAAGTTTTGAGCAAAGGGAGTGCTGCACATTCAAAGTGTGCACTTAACTTGTCAAATTAGATCAAACTATTCTATGTTTCATGCAGGAACAACAATGTACGTTTTGTCTAACACCTTCCAATGGCAAGAGGATGTCAGGAAAGGCACTATATCAAATGCAAGGATTATTGTTATTATTATTATTTTTACTATGAGCCAGTTGTAACTTCCTCTTATCACACAATGAGTTTGATCAATTTAATCCATTTGCAGCTGTGAAAGTTGTTTGCATGCCATGTTCCCCGCTATCACCAATTTCAACTCTTGTCTTGTGTTGTATTGCCAGCCACTGACACGTTCTAATGGAGTCATGATTTTGCTTGTGGCACAGACTCTCTGTGATCTCCCCGTGGATCACGACAATGACGTGTTGTTACAGAATGCATGAATGACCCCCTGTGTTGAGTTCCAGTTACAAGCCTGAGAATCCTGCCCTAACCCCCACCCCCACCCACCTATACCAGCTCCTTCTAACTCCAGCCGTGCATCCCTTTGAATCTGTCCACAACAAACGAGTTTCCTTCCAAGTGTCATTTCATGTCCAACCTCTCTCCATTTACAAACATCTGGAAAGCCTGCTTTCTGTCAGTTGCCCTGAGTGATCTCACCGATAATGGGGTGAAAGTGAATTGGTGAAGAATTATGTTTTGCAGAATTTGAGAATGAGAATCCTAGAATAATAGGAATCATACAAGCTCTCCTAATCCCCATGCCCCTTCAAGAAATAGTAATTCTTTCATTTAAAATGTTTCTTTTACATCAGGAGATGTCAGTTAATAGCCCAGAAAATAGTAAGTTTCCTTAATCCACACACTTTTGTTTACCCAGTAGCAAGTAGGAACTCGGTTGTTAGCTGACTGGCGGATCGGTATCTGGGGATAATAACCCCTTCAAAAAAATAATAATAATTTTGTCACTCAATCCCTGTTCATAGCACATTGCTGTGTGCAATTGGCCGCCGCGTTTCTCCCACAAAATATACAGTCAATTCACTTTACAGTGTATTCTGTGAAGTGCTGGGACATC